TTATTATTGCAAGAAAAATACCAATTATAAAAATAATTATTATAATTTTGGTGGCATGAAAGATATAAATAAATGGTTTATATCAAGAGATTTGACAATATATAAATAAGATTCTATCAAATGAAGGTGCTATAGCTCAAATGTAGCATGAAAATGTTTTATCAGTAAGAATCATACCAGATGGTCCAAATTCCTTTACCTACCTTATTTTGATCCAATTCAGTATTTAGTTATTGATTCTATGTACTGTTTTTTCTTAAGTATTGGTAAATAATTCATTAAATAAATATGAATCAAAGAAAAAATATTAATGAATAATGCATTGAATGAAATATAATTAATAATGGAAATTTTTCAAGTACTATTAGATATTGGTCAAATTTTGAGAATAATAAATAGTAGTGAAGGATTTTTGAACTTTACTATCGATCAGTAGAAAATTTTTTTCATAATATATATAACTATTATTCTATGGAAATATTTTCCAGATATAGATTATCAAATTCTAATAAATTTTATCAAGATTTGTCAAATCTTAGTATATCAAATTTTAAGATGAAATTTGTTAAATAAGGCTCATGAAAAATTAGTCACAATAATTAAACTAATAGAATAAAAATATGAGGAAAAAAAAAATTACTTTAAATCTTCATCTTTCATTACATTTATATAAATACATGTATTATTATAGGACATTGTATATTTTGATACTTTTTATTTGAGAGGATGAATCATACTCTTTCCATTAATCCTTTGACCACACATAAAAAAGACATTCACAAGAAGTTTGTAATACTTCTTTGCTAATAAAGTCTAAACACTCTTCTTAATCCAATCTAAAGAGAATCCTTAAGAGTTACCTATATTCTTCTTTCCTTGTTTACAATCATTTTCAAGCAAACTAAACTCTTATGGCCTATAAAGTTCAGCTCATATCTTTACTACCAATGGCAAGAAAGTTCCTAAAGAAAGAAGAATCACCAGTGTAATACCTGTCACCACTCTTCTGAAGTAGAAGAACAAGATAAGATAGAGGTTTTGCTCCAGTTAAAGAACTCATATTTTCCTCTTAACTTGATTTTTTGACCTCTAAGAGCTTCCACTTTATGGCTTTCTTGGGAATTTTGCCTATCCCAGCTTGACCCTGAATTTTAGGATAGTACAAATCCTACCTATTTTGATTAACTGACACGAAACACATTGGACAAGATTAATAAACAAGCTTTTATTGATCATTTCACGTGTCTGAATACATTTCCTCAACTTAATATGAACCTGGGATCTACTGTAAGTCATATGTGTTGATGTGGGTGGATATAGGACATAAACCATCACATCAATGAATACAAAAAAGAGTAGATCTATTATAGACTGATCATCCGGTCAGAATACAAAGAAGAATCAGCTCACTCACACTTGTCGATAAAGATAGATTTCAGCCCAGTGTGATGTTGAAAGTATAAGACAGATTATAGACAGGTAAGAATCAAGCGATATAATGTTCTTTACATAAGACTGAATTCCAATCAAATCAACAAGACAAACTGAGACGCAAGATATAAAAATTCACTTTTTCTTTTTCTTTTTTTTTCAATCACTAACAAGGTCTTCTCATATAAGGGACTTCTAATACTGGTGGTGTTTAATATCTTAGGTGAGTTTTTGATATGTTAGTTTTCCCCTAGTAGAGATAGCAATAGATCATCTGATAGATAAAATCCTAAGAAGTGTTGGTTTTAGAGATAGGTTTAAGGCTAAATTTATTTCAATGAAGTTGGCTTTATATTTCTTATAGCTTAGTTAAAGTTTAGAGAAAGTTCTATGCTAGATAGTCAATAGTCATCATATCCTGATTGGGTGGGATGTAAATAAATGCCCTTTGTATTATTTGTTGATCTATAAATTCCTAGGCAGTAAGAATAATTAGTCATTCCATTTGTCCCTAGGATTTTAATAAAGCATATAAACCAGTACAGGAATAAGCTAGTATTATAAAAAATAATAATAATAATAAGAATAAAAAAAATTTGAGAAGATGAATGGTATATTAGATAGATTTTTTAAACAAATTTAACATTTGAAAGTAGAATTTTAATGAATTTTTAATTTAGGCTCATTGCCTAATAGTTATCAAAATATTGAATCTAAATTAATGCAAAGATTGATGAATAATCATTAAATTATTAATCTAATTATATCTTATCTTAATAACCAGAATTTAAAATTTTAAATAATCGATCAAATATCGGCTCAATTTTTGAACTCGATCAGTTTTTGACTAACAAGTTATATTAATTTTTAAATGATACATATAATATTCACGAAACAATAATCAATGGATTTGAACATTTTTTAGGTAAACTCTTGTATCTGAAAAAACCAAATTTAGAGATATTTATTAAAATATTAGATCTATTAGTCAAATATTATAAGATATCTTATGAAATTATAGATTTTTGAAGGTCATTTATGAAAAATAATAAAAATTCGATAATTATTTGAAATAGAGCAGATCAATATGATAGATGTCAAATTGAAAGTAAAATATTCGATTCTATTATGTCCTCACGAAATATTAAGAACTCATTTATATTAGCTAGATTCATAAATTATGATAAAAATATCGATTTATATCTGGAACAAGTTCAATTTTTTTTATATATTGATAAACTTTTCAAATAATGTTATTGAACATCAATTGACCTTTATTTGATGATACAAGATCTGAAAATAATGTGAATATTAAATTATGAAATATCGAATTTTATCAAGTTAGATATGAATACATAATTTCTATTTATAATATTTTTGACTGATTTATTTTATTTATACTGTATATAGAATCTCAAATCGATAAGACTTTTGTGAATATTGAGCTATAATTTCTTTAAATTATAAATATAATATATAATTAAAATTTAACAAATATGTGAATTTTAACAAATGTCTAATGATTTTTTGATTAATAGAATATATAGTAAAAATGGTGCAAATATAATAAATAATGTCAAATTATATAGTAGAAATTGATTGCTGATTTATTTATATCAAATTATAGGTCAAATTATATGATAGAAATTGATTGATAATTTATTTATTTCATTAATATGCCAAATTATTTATTTTTTTTGATAAATGTTACATGAGTGACATTATGTCAAATAAATATTTTTTGACTAGTGAAACTATTAATGCTTTCAACAAAATAGCAATTCCAAGAATTAAAGTCAAATTGCACAAGAATTTCTTGCTAAAAATATTTTTTATATGGTAGATTAACCTTAAATAATTCTAATCTAAATCTTATCAAAAATTTATAAAATGATATAAAAAATATTTCTAGATCTATCCTAATTAGGTTAGTAGATTCAATAAGGTGTCGTTGTAAGCTTATCATGATGATTACATATCTTACTATTTAAAAATCACAAAAAAAAAATGTATAACATTAAAGTATTGGACGTATATACAGTAAAAACAAATTTTGATGTTTAGATCACAATGCATAATATGCGATCAAAGATCAAGGATCCGATAATGCTGGTAAATTCGTATAAATATCGATTCCATTGCGATTGACAAATCGATTTAAAAATTTCGACGCCTTTCTTTTTTAGTAATAGTGGCTGGCTACATATGAGAATTCTAACGACGTATAGTTACATCTGTCCAAGCATGTTGTTAGCGATAATTTCCGTAAATATCCTAGATCTCTTTGCCAGTTAGTAGATAAGGCATTTTTAGATACATTGGGTTACTTGCAAAAAAAAATTCCAAGAATCTTTCTTCCTTCTATTCACTTGAATTTTAAAAAAATGCCTGTTGACCCGCATATGAAAAATCCAAAACCTAAATTGAGAACGTGGAGAGAGTTGGCGAGGCGTCGGGGATGGGGATACCCCGACATTTTACGCTTCGAGGGCTCAGTAGGCATTTTTGTGTGCGCGCTTCTTTAAAGAATTATACTTTTTAATATTTTCCTTCTTTAGGTTCTTCCAAGCTGTATTCCCATAACTTTTTTTTCCGTGTTGATCACAACTATAGTAACTGTGCTTTATATGATCTACGACGTAAATATTTCTCTTCCGGATGTCTTGAGTAAGCATTCTTTTTTACGCACCGAAAATTTTTACATTTATTTGGTATTCATAACATTCACTCTTGAAATAAAAAAAGTCGGCTCCGTATCAGTGGTAGTCGGTCTGCTGTTAGCTTTTCGTACAAATAATGCGTACGATAGATATTACGAAGGACGCAAGCTTTTTGGTTGTATGTGGTGTGTATCAGAAATTGAATTACGGATTTAAACAGTTCTAACCATGCATCAATAGTACTCAAATTAGAAATTGCACGCGTGAAACGTGGGTTGGAGTCACAGAATATAATGAAGAAGATCATTTTGAAAAAGAAAAGATGATAAGACTCCTATTAGCGTTTTCCGTTGCTGTTAAACATCATCTTAGACTGGAATTTGGTACACATTGGTTTGACTTGAAAGACCTTCTTCCCGAAGGTTTTCAATTGACATATTTTGATGGCAATGCAACACAGGATGGTGGGGATCCCAATCATCACGAGAATGGTGGTTTGCCATCTGTGCATTCAACACTCCGTAAACTCACCAGTAGAATTCCTCCTACCACTTATTATTATATCCGTAATTCTTATTCACCGGATGAGAGTCGTATTTGGTTTGGTGAAGATGACTGGGGCGGTGATATAGATGCGAGCATGAGTCTTCCATTAGAAATCGTGTTTCATTTAGATTTGTACTTCAATGAAAGATTAAGAGAAGGCAAACTAGACGGTTCTCATTTTGGTACATTGACTGGGTGCTTGAATTCACTAATTGATGTGCTGGGGAACCTTGAAAGAATTGGAAATACGCCTATCCCTTTTGCGTATAACGTGCATTGTAATTACCCATATATTTTCTTTATTTTCCTTTACTTTCTTTCATATACTAACTCGCAACCTGTTTTTTTTTTTTTGCAGTGAAACAGGCAGTCACCCTATATGGTAACAGGAACTCTATTTGCGCATAATTCGCAACGCATATAATTATGTAACTAATGATTATTTAACTTAGTGTGGTCACTGCCCTTCGCTCTGGTTTCTAAAATGGGATGGTTTACAATCCCGGTTATGTTGATCGTTTCTCTTGCTCTGTTTGGCGTTGAGGCCATTGGTCAGTAAATAACTGCTTGGGTTTCCGTATGCCATGTACTATCAATTAATATTTGATTTTTATACATACTTATGTAGGCGCCGAGATTGAAAATCCATTCGGTATGTAAAAATCAAACGTTAATAATGATTCATATAAATGCTTATTCATTTTTTATATTATCAGGGTATGATAAGAATGACCTTCCATTGGACGATTATTGCAAGGTATACATACCTATCTTTTGCATAATTTTTTTATTTTATTTTTTTTTACCATAATATATTTACGAGTTGTTATAATTAACAGGACCTGGAAGCTGAAGTCAAATATTTGCAGCGTCATCTTCCTTCAAGGAAGGAAATTCCACAAACGCAATAGTTTCTGTTATAGAATAATATTTAAAAATTTTCAACTGTTGGTAAAAATGATTTAATAAAAGGCATATAAAATAATGAGAAATGAACATAAATGACCAACCTTCTTGGGATCCGGTGTGTGGAAACCAGGATTTGATTCATAAGACTCATTACGACCTTGAGAATCTTCCATGTGATCCTGGATGTAGAGATGAAAAGTAAAATTTATTACATATAAAAGCATTAGTATAAAACCAACTTTTTAAAAATTACATGATTTCGCTTCCCAGCATGTTCCTTTACAAATGACTTCAATTTATCGGATAAAAACGTTCTTGCATCTTTCGAATATTTGATGGAATCATATATTACGCCATTGATAAACCCTAGCTATACTGTCTTCATATTGCATCTTTTCGATCTCTGTCCAGAAATAAAGGACACCCCGGGAAGACTTCTCGTTCTTTTTGTTAAAACGAAAACAGACATTGTAAAATCAGGTAACGTTTTTTGAGACTACCATAGAGCCCATATAACCGACAAAACAAAGGTTAAGATGAGTGTAAGCACCCGGTTGCGTTATGGCAGTAACATATGTCTATCCAAGAACACCCGAGGGGAAACGACCTCCACTCTCACCAGCCAGTGCTTAGTAGCTAGCTACTCGGAGTTTGTCAATACGTCACGTAAATGTCTCGGGACCGAAACTTATTCTAGCCCTTGAAGCCACTCATCCCACTCGGTGGCAACAAACATATACTTAACTTCAAAACCGGAAAGATATTCTCGAGCTTGAGCGTTATTCCCCGCCAATAATTCCAAAGCTTTTTTGTACATGCTTCCTTCTCTTATAATGCGTAAAATATTGCTCTAAAATTCAAAAAGCTAAGCAACGACCAGAATGTAATTTTTTTTTTTTTTTTTTTGAAGAATTTTTCTACTATTTCCTGAGCCTGTAGTAGAAATATTTCGTTTGACGATTCTCCTCCAGACATGGTTAGCATAGTTATAGGCAAAAGCACGAATG